CACAGATGTATCTGTCCAAGAGCTTCCCCTTAGAGAGCCCTGCTGGTACAGTGTTTTCAGAGCTGTGTTCCTCAGCCTGGGGTCCTGTGCTGCCCCCAGAAACGGGGGAGGCCTGGGCCCCTGCCTTCCACATCAGTCAGAGCAGCCCCACTCAGATCCATTAGCTTGTGCTTCTGTGTTGGTTTCAGTTGGGGAGGTTTGACCGATTGAAAAATTACCCTGTTCACATGTACGAAGGTAACCAGTGTGTGGGGTTGGGAGTGGACAGGCACACTCAGCACCACACCCAGGCTGACAGAGGGACCTCATCTGAGTCACCTGGACACCAAGTGTCTTTCCAGAGCAGGTGCTGGATTCAGGTCACTGAGAAACAAACCACAGTCAGTAGTGCCCCAGTGCTTGTGATCTGGCAATTCCACTCTGAAGAGTGTGTACCAAGAAAGTAGTCTTGAAGGGAAAAGCCTGGCAGATACCATAGTCATTACATTAATAATCATGTTACTATTATAGTAATGCTTATAATAGCAGACATGATTGAAAATAATAATACCCTTTTTCTGGCACTATTAAAAATATTTAATGTGGTGGGGTTGTTGTTTTGTTTAGTTTTTTGGGTGCTAGATATCCAACCCAAGGGCCCATGCAGTTAGGCAACTACTGTACCACTGAGCAATTAATTAATAGTTAATTCATTTAAACTTTAAAATAGCTTGTGAGGGTGGAGCTATCATACTTGCATTTCATAATGATGAAACTGAGCCTACAAAGAGGTGAAGCCATGCACCAGGTTACAGGTCAGGTTCTCTGTTGGATTGTATGTAACAGGTTCCCATATGTAAGATGACAGAGAAGGAGAGGCAGACCTGGAGGTCTAAGTCTATAGCCCATGCTTTGGGCCTCTGTCCAGGCATCCTGTCATGCCTGGAGCAGGGGAATTGCTGATAGACTGGCCGTCAGCCTTCAGGGAGGCCCCAGAGTTGTGAATACAGCTGTGCAGCTATGAGTGATCTTGCAGGTGTGTTGTGTCCACTTGAGGGGTTGGCTTAGGGCCACACCTCCTGGAACCAGCCTGCCTTCTCCAGCCTTAGTTTTGGAGTCTTCCTGAGGGCCCCATCTATATTCTTGAGACTTTATTCCATCTTCTTGGCTTAGCTCTTATTCTTAGTACTGCCTAGAATTCCTTCTCTTTCTACCAATCCAAATGTTACTGACCCATAAAACCCCAATACTTCTCTTTTAGGAAGGTAAATTTTGATGATTATTACTCTTGACAGCAACCAATTTTACCAACAAGAAAATAGAGGCCCAGAGACAGTGATATATCCCGAACAGGATCAAGCACATCCTCAGTGCCCACCAGAAGAGCTGTTCTCTTATATCCTCAGCTTTTAGAATGTTGGCACAGGATTGGTGCTTGATAAAAATACCTGATAGTCAGGTGTAGTGGCACACACTTACTACCCCAGGTACTCAGGAGGTGGAGGCAGAACTATTGCAAATTTAAAGCCAGTCTGAGCAACTGAGCAAGAAGACCCGCTCTAAAAAAATTGAAAAGCTTGGGGATACAGCTCAGTGGAAGAGTACTGGGTTCAATCCTCAGTACAAAAAAACTGTCTGTTAAATTTTTCTTTTCTTGGGCTGGGGATTTAGCTCAGCGGCATAAGCACCTGCCTTACAAGCAGGCAGTCATGAGTTCGATCCCTGGTACCGATAAAAAGGAAAAAGACAAAAAACAAACAAAAAAATTTTTTTCTTATTGGTACCAGGGATCGAATTCATGACCATGTGCTTGCAAAGGCAGGCGCTTATGCCGCTGAGCTAAATCCCCAGCCCCCCTGTCGGTTATATTTTAAAAATAATTTCTGTTGTTCCTTGAAAGAGCTGTGTGTGGCGGTGGTAAGAGGATCTGGCTGTACAACCAGGAGAGATTTCAGCAGCAACCCCCCCCCCCATGACTGTCTGTTTCTTCAGGCTATGCAGTCTCCATTTATCACGACAGAAGCTTGGATTAGCTGATCTTAATAATTCGGCCATCTCTGAGGTTGTTCCAGGCATCCTGTGAATCTGGGATGTATGTCCTGTTCTTGAGTGAAATTCTTCCTAATTCCAGTCTCTGCCTCCTTACCTCTGTTTTGTTTTTATGGTGAGCCAACAGATAGTTCCTTGTCTCCTTTACACATTGCTCACTTGTTGAAATGTGACCAACTTCTGCCAGTTTTTATCTGCACTAATGAAAGTGAACCCCTGTGACTGTCAGCAGAAAAAAAATGCTTGATGTGCCTAATGTTGTCTCACCAAGTTCCCTGGTGAGGCCAGTCAATCAAGAGTGGGTTCAAGCCAGGCACGCTCACTCATAGTCTGTAGTCCTGGCACTCTGGGAGGCTAAGGAGCAGCTTACCTTGGCGGGAGATGGAAGTAATGACAGCTCTCTAACAGTGTGATGCCATACTTGAGTAATTGCTGCAAAGGAAAATGATGTAGCTCTGGGACCAAAGATCTGCAGGATGGTAGCCGTGTGGTATACCAGAGGTGATTTGGAACTGGGAATGTAACTCAGTGGACAGTGCTCGCCTGGCACACGAGAGGCCTTGGTTTGACCCCCAAGACCACACGCACACAAAGCAAAGGGCACGGTCTGATCACCCAGACTTTTCTAAGCCTTGCGTGTGATAGGCTTCTTACTATCAAGGTCCAAAAGTGAATTACAAGGAGGTTCCTGGACAGGCACAGGAACCCCTCTGGGCTCTAGTCCTGCCCCTTAGCAAATGGGCTTTGTGTTAGCAGTGCCCTTGCAGGTTTAAGGAATAGTCATGCCCCTCAAGTTACTGGGAGTGGGATTGATTTTGTGGGTGATATTAATAAAACACTTAACATTTATTAACTGTGACCTCTTACTAAACATCCTTAAATGGATTCCTCACAGCAAGCTCTTTGAAGAAGAGGCAATGAAAAGGTAGATTAAGTCACTTGCCAAAGGCCACAGAACTCTAAAGGGGTAAAGCCAGGGAGCAAACTCAAGTCTTCAGAGTTCAGTCTCTGACGGGCCATAATCAGGAAGGCATAGCCATACAACAAGGCCTTACATGGCTCTCATGTACAGATTGTTACCAGCCAGGACCCAACAGCAGCCCTGGTTCCTACTCATCATGCCCCTTAAAAAGCAAGTGACCACTACCACCCATTCTTATGACCTGACTTGGCTTAAAGCAATTTCTCTGAACCAGGTATGGTGGCACATCCCTGTAATCCCAGCTTGAGAAAGCTGAGGCAGGAGAATTACAAGTTCAAGACCAGCAGCAAGTTCAACATAGCAGGATTTTATCTCAAAAAAAAAACCCTCCATGATTTAGCTCTTCCTTTGTCACTATAGCCTCCTTTTCTGCCTCTTTTATTTCTGTTGCCAAAAGAAGACCAGTTCATGCTAATTTCTTGCCACCTATTGGGAAGGCCTAACAGTGACTGCCTTTGGCTGGTCCTTGAGCCGTCATTTACGGGCCAGATGAGCTGAGTCCTGAGCATCTTGTCCCGAGTAGGGTCCTAAAGGTGAGTGTGGTTGTACCACACAGCCCCCAAAGGCAAGCCAAGCACTTGGTGGGAGACTAAAACAGCAGACTGCTCCAGAGTGTAATCACTGGTATGTGAGGAGTCACTTGTGGCACATTCTTCAGACTGTGTGTCAGTGAGGTCTGAGGTCTCTCGGATTGGAGCCTTCAACTGGTCATGGCCAGTTCACGGGCACCTGACCACCTAGCTCTGGCCTGACATGGCTCAGGTTGAGCTACATTTGTCACCTTGTTGACAGTAGACAACATCCAGTGAGTGAAGTTCTTTCAGTAACTCAGCCCTCAAAAGAGAAGATTCGATGTTCAATAATGGCCATTGACCGGCTAGTTCTACTAGTAAAATCCTAGCCCAAGTGCCCAGTAGCAAGGAAATGGTGAGCCTGTGTGTTCCTCACTTAGGCTTTTGGATTTTTGATAGTAGGTATGTAAGTGGATAGGCAGGCAGGTGATAGATAGATAGATAGATAGATAGATAGATAGATAGATAGATACATAGAGGGCTAAGCACACTCTACCACTCAGCTACATCTCTAGCCCCTTAGTGGGCTCTTTGAAGAGATAGTGATGCTGCTTACAAAGGACACTGTCATAAGTTAATGAGGGAGAGAGGCCTGTTTGCAGGCAGTGTGTTTATAACTGGTGACCTCCCTCAGGTGGGGATGGAGAGGGTTATGTTCTGGCACTAGCTGTCCTTTCTTCTTCCTCTTTTTCAGTCTTTACAAGTTGGTAAGAGGCATCTCCTGCCTCCAGTTCTAAGCGTTGTGAAGGAGCATCTCTCCTGCTGCTGCTGCAAGTCAGTCATGCAGTGTGGCCCTGGCAGTGGGGCCTGTAGGCAGTCCCTGTACCACTCCTTGGAGTCATACATGACCTGAGATCTCTGAGCCTCAATGCTGTGTGGCTGGGGAAAACAGATTTCCCACATCCCTAAAAGTAGGGCTGGGCATGGTCCCTGCATTCATGCCACATGTCAGAGCAGCCTGGGCTCTTCAGCAGCGCACTGAGGGGTGTGAGGCAAAGGCATATGATATGGGTGCTGCCTAGATGTTCTCTCCATGGACAGTGTCTCAGCCCATGGCCACCAGTCGTCTCCTATGGATGGCAGAGCTATCTGAAAGCTACTAGCCATCCATGGCACAGCAGGGATGCTGCTGCAAGTCAGTCATGCAGTGTGGCCCTGGCAGTGGGGCCTGTAGGCAGTCCCTCCACCACTCAGGGGTCCTCCTGCCCCACTGGCAAGTGACGATGGTGGTGCTCCCTGCAGAGCACGGTGTGGCACTGGTGTATTTAAGTGCTCATCACTGTGCCTGTCACACTGTAAATAGCAGCACTGATTGTTACTCACCAGTTCAGTACTCTGTAACTGCTGGCAGGGGGAGGGGGCTGGAGCTTGGCAGAAAGGGGCTCCAGCTTCCTGCTCAGTCTCTGTTCTCCCCTCAGGCATTCCCATCAAGAGTACCATGGACAACCCCACCACCACACAGTACGCCAACCTCATGCACAACTTCATCCTGAAGGCACGGAGCACCGTGCGTGAAATTGACCCCCAGAATGACCTCACTTTCCTCCGAATTCGCTCCAAGAAAAATGAAATAATGGTTGCACCAGGTAAGGGGCCTTCCACCACTCCACTCTACTCTGAGGCAGACCCTCCCAGCCTATCAGGAAGATCTCTGGAGACACTTTGGTCTCCAGAGGCCCAACGAGGGCCCGAGGAGTTAAAAGAATCCAGTTGCCTCACTGCCTAGCTGGTGTCCCCAGCAAACCTCCACAGCAACTGGAGACCTCAGGAGAATCACGCTCTTACGGGGAAGAAAACACACAAGTATAGCACAGATCTCCCTTTCCTTGAGATGGGGAAATTCAAAAGAGCATTGGGGATGTTGGGAAGAGTATGATCAGATCTGGCTTCCCAGAAGAAGAGAGCTTGGAGCTAATCTTGAGAGCCCCCAAAAGCATATGAAGTGGACAACAGGAAAGCTATGTTTGGAGAAAACAAATTCAGTGATTCTAAGCCAGAATGTAGCAGTCCTGTCTCCAGGGCCCTTGAAGCCAGCTTTTCCTCTGGCCCTGGAGCAGATTGCTGTTTCAGTTTCTCACAACGTGCTTGGCTAGCATTTGGCGAGGCTGTGTGGTGCAGCCACACTAGGGTCCGGCTTTAGGGTCCTGCTTAGATTGATGAGATGCTCATCTTGGGAGGAGATCACAGGAGGGACCCATCAAACTGTACAGGATATTGCTTGCGTTGTTGCGTCTCACACTCTTTTTATTTGGCTGAGCCATAGTGAAATGTGCATGAGTTGAGTTCACACTTGATTTGCTTAGGTCGCAGTACAGCTTGCCTAGGGCATCAGAAGCTGCATAGGAAGGTGTGGAACGTGAGACTTAAGACACAACTTAGAAAGAGCCTCAAATGCAGAGCTCAGCTGTGTGGCCTTGCTGCTGTGAGTGGAGCAGGATGCCACAGTGCAGTGGGGCAGCTGTGGCCCTGTGTGTATCTGTGCTTGGCAAGGATGGCTGTAGACTTTTGTGGGAGTCAGATGGGACTCGGCCTCTAGTGGCATTAGACTAGCACCGGTTCTGTTCCCAGTCCTGCTCCAGCCCAGTGTCACTGCCTGGGAAAGTGGGAAGGAAAAAACCAAAGAGCAGGTCACAGGGGCCCCCAGTCTTCTCAGGGGGCAGAGACACAGCCCCAGAAAAGAACATAAGCATACCCTGAGAGGTGTTTACTCTAAATGCAGGCCGTGAATATCCGTGTCTCTGCCTGAATCTTTGGGTGGCCAGAACTCTTCTGCCTTACAGCTTGGCTCTGGGCAAGTCATCACATTGCACCTCTGTAAGTCATCACGTCATCTACTGCGACAGGACTCCTTGTCTGGATGAGTGTGTCCCCTCAAACTGGGGCAAAAAGCCTTGGAGTCACACATGACCTGAGATCTCTGAGCCTCAATGCTGTGTGGCTGGGGAAAACAGATTTCCCACATCCCTAAAAGTAGGGCTGGGCATGGTCCCTGCATTCATGCCACATGTCAGAGCAGCCTGGGCTCCTCAGCAGCGCACTGAGGGGTGTGAGGCAAAGGCATATGATATCGGTGCTGCCTAGATGTTCTCTCCACGGACAGTGTCTCAGCCCACGGCCACTAGCCGTCTCCTATGGATGGCAGAGCTATCTGAAAGCTACTAGCCATCCATGGCACAGTAAGGCCCTGTGGGTGACCAGAGCCTCTGAGTATGGTTCCCAGGGAGGGGTTCAGGCCCAGAGCTCCCGGCCTTGTGAGCGGAGGCCAGGATGAGTGAGCAGACCCTCGCTGGACACCGTAGAGGCTGGGGGCGTGCACAAGGCCTCTCGCTCCTGCTGTGACTCATTGAGGTCACCTCAGACAGCATCTCCATACATTACCACACTGCTGCCTCGGCCCGCAGCCCTCACCCCAGGCCTTCCCACTTGCCCGCCTGCTGCCAGAACACCTGACCAACCATTTTCCTTTTTTTGCTTTGTGTTGCTTTTTTTGAGACAGCTCATTTTATATTTTTAAATTTTGAGACAGGGTAGGTTGCCCAGCTATAGTTTCAAGTTTTGATCCTTCTGCTTCAGCCTCTCAGGCTGTGGACACAAGTGTACCTGTCTTTTCCAGTAGACAGCTAAATTCCATGACTGCTGTGACTTGTAAGCATGTTAGTGTTTAGCAAGTAAATAAATGAAAGGTTTCCTGAACCTCCCTCCATTGCTGACAGCCCACCACTGTGGTCAGGGCTGGAGTCTGGCAGGAATGGGGCTGGGCATGTGGGTGGGACTTGGTACAGTGATGTGGCACCGTGACATATCCACTTGGTTTTAGCCTAGAACAAACAGTGGGTTTTGGTGCCAGAACTCCTGTGGGCAGAAGGTACTGATGAGTCTTAGGATATCGGGGCTGGCATAAAATGGCTCTTGCTGCCGTGTGCTGGAGCCAGAGCTTGTTAGACTATAGTTAGCAGCTCACATATGAACAGCCTGGAAGAGAACTTCCTTTTCACCTGCTTGGAGTGCTTGACCAAGGTAGGAGGCTACTTCTCTACCCAACAGTAGCAGCCAGTGGCTTCAGAAGTTTGGCTTTCCACTGTCCAAATGTGTGCCACATTTCACCCTGTATGGGCCCAGAACAGTCCACACAAAGAGGCAGACTCGGCCCAGCATATGATCCCAGCACTCAGGAGCCTGAGGTAGGAGGATCCTACTTGCAAGTGCAAGTTCAAGGCCAGCCTGGACTACGTAGTGAAAGAAACCCTGTCTCAAAATGAAGGGGGAAAAAAAAAAAAAAAAAAGACTTAGTTCTCAGTAATTAATCTAACTGATACAAAGCTGAGTTGACTCAGTACAGGCAAGCTTTAGCATGCTCCCGCCCAACAACACTTGATTTAGCCTTGTAGGATGTAAAACCTAATAGCTTGGAGTAAAGGACACTGCTGTGTTGCTTGTGGTCTTGTGTTTGTTTTTATGAATGGCATGGTTTGTTAGTTTTTCTTTTATTGGGGAGGGCGTTGGGATTTTTTGTTTCTGTTTTGGTTTTTTTGAGACAGGGTTTTGCATTGTAGTTCATGCTGGCCTTAGAATGGCAATCACTATTACCTTTTCTTTATAGCTTTTCAGGAATATTTTTAGCTTATGCCATTTTATAGGGTGTTTTTTGTTTTTTGAGACAGGTCTTGCTATACAGGTCAGGCTAACCTTCCTTGAACTCACAGTGTAACCCAGGCTGGCCTTAAACTTGTGGCAGACCCCCTTCCTCAGCCTCTTGAGTGCTGGGATTTGAGGTACACATCACCACACCCAGCAGTTATTTCTGTTTTTACCAGTGATTCTGTTTATGTGTGCAGGTTGCTTAACCATGAAACTATTGGTTTGTGTTGCTTAGTTACAGCAGACCACCATCATGGGAAGCACCAAGAGGTAGACTTGACCGGAATTGCAGCACTGCAGCATAGTTGAGGTCCTGCCATTTCTGTCATGCTCAGCAGAGGGCAGCAGACCAGAGGGCTTCAGATGAGGAGTAAAGCCCAGGTTCTGTGTACCAGCCTAGTCCATATATTTGCCTTGACGTGGGCAAGTCACTTAACTCTGAGCCTTAGTGTTCTCAGCACAATGAGAAAACACTGGTACCTGCCTAGAGTCATTCAGGGGTTCACTGACAAGCCATGGGAAAAGTGGTTGATCCAGGCCTGGGCACATAGAAATCTTGGTAAATGTTTACAGTTTGATTATTAAACCAGGCATAGTGGCTCACACCCCTAATCCAAACACTTGGGAGGCTGAAACAGAAGGATCACTGCGAGTGCAAGGCCAGTTTGGGCTAAAAGTGAATTCAGGGCTAGCCTGAACTAGTGTAGCAAGACCCTGTCTCAAAAAAAAAATAAGAAAAAAAAAACCAGTTTGCCAGAGTTGAAACCCCCTGTGTGTCCAGTTTCTCGTCTACAAACTGAGGGGTAGTCTGGCCTGCCTCTGAGGACCTGGACTTCCTGTGATTTCAGTGGACATTCTTCCTTCCTGGGCTGGGTCGCTGGCCTCAGTTCCCCTTTGACCTAGTGCCTCTGAAATGTTCTTGCCTAGAAGGCTCTGGAAAGCAAACAGCTAAGCTTGTGACAGAAACTGCCATTAACCCAAACCCAGTGAAGGTTGGAGTTCTATCTTTGACGCTTTGGCAGACCTTAAGCGAGTGGTTTTCCTGGTATCACCTGGGAGCTTGAGAGAAATGCAGCTCTCAGGCTACCCCAGACCCACTGAATAAGTGCTCTGGGAATGGGGCCCCCAGCCCTCAGATGATGGGATGCATTCAGGTTTGAGGAGAAACCTCTACACCTGGGTGTCCCTGCCCAGGAAGGAGAGGAGATTCCTCCCTGCCTAATGCTGCTGTCACTCAGAGGATTAGAAAACAGTAGCAATGGAAGGTTCCCCAGAGGAAAGTTCTTGCTGTCCCAGAACTTGTGAGAAAAATATTTTTCAGGATCAAGTACCTGAGAAAGACATTTGCCATGACAGTGCTAAGCACAGGGCCCGGGATTTAGCTAGCAGCATAAGCACCTGCCTGGCAAGCATGAGGTTGTGAGTTTGATCCCTGGTACCAAAAAAATAAAAATAGAGAACCCTAAGCACTGTCCTCAGGAAGAGAAGCAGATAGCAAGAAGAGCTGGCGGCATCTGTGTGTCACTGGGCTCAGAGGTACAGATGGCGTGACCCCAGATGTCTGCAGCTGTTGCAGCTTCAGTGCCCTGGGAAGATCTCCAGAGCTGCCGTCTTTCAGCTCAGAAGCCTTCAGTTGCATGCTGGTACTGTCACATTGTATACTACGTGGGATGCCCAAGGTGAAGTCTGCGAATAAACTTGAGGCTGGGGCGTAGTTCACGGGTAGTGTGCTTGCCTAATCCCTACAATGCCCTGTCTTCCAGCCCTAGCACCAAATCATTAAGCAAATTGCTAAGCATAGCAACTGAGGCAGGGGAATCCTTACAACGTTGAGGCCAGCCTGGGCTACACGATAAGATCCTATCTAAAAAAGTAAAAGTAGTAAATTGCCTTGACATAACATTTTGCCCCATCTCATCATGAATAAGACGACATCTGCTTGGAGGATCTAATTCATGAAATCTGTGCTGTTAGAAAACCCTTCCAGGAAGCAGATAACTTCCTGTGACCCTGCAGATTGTCTTCATGGGGTACAATGAAGAAAAAGGTCACCTGTCTTATAGAAAAGCTGACAAGGAAGACCAGTCAGCAGTGGCCTTAGCAGAGTGCCCTAGGTGTCTATCCTGGTTTTCATGTAATCTGGTCAGTTAATGAACAGTGGGTGGTGTCACAATGAGGCAAAGAAGAACAGATGCTTCAGGGTACCTGCTCCCCTGCAAAGAGTGCCGGGCAGGCAAGAACCCCAGGAAACCCAGTTTCTCATTTCTCAGGGGTGGGAAGTAGCCTGAGCATTGATGGTTTTTATGAAATCTTTCCTCTTTTCTTTCCATTTCATAGTTAAGGAACTGTTACATTTTCCTCCCATTTTACATTTAGTGACTTATATTTTCATTTTTCTCTTTTGCAGATAAAGACTATTTCCTGATCGTGATTCAGAATCCAACTGAGTAAGCCACTGTATTGGCTCCCTTTGTCATCCCTTAATTTAATGTCCCCCAAGAATAACAGCATTAATCATGTCACGTGACTGGCTCGGAAGCCCTGGCAAACCTCTCCACTGACCACAAGCAGCCTGGTAGCTACGCTGTCCCCGCCAGGGGTCCCACTGCCGTGCCAGGCCCCGGCTTCGGCAGGACGCCTGCCTTGCCTTCAGCTTGTAGGGCAGGAGCTGCTAAGAAGCCCACGCCCAGCTTCCTTCTCCCTTCAGTTCCCTTTGTCGCCCCTGGGAAAGGCTGTTTTTCTTTCAACTAAAAATAACCCAAGTGCTTACCCTGCTGCTCTGTGTTTAAATACTAGGTTGGAAAGGCCTCTCCCCATGTCACCACTCGGTCTGAAAACCAGAGCTGAGGCCTCCTCCAGCCTCTCCCAGAGACAGCGTCCATGGCCCTGTCCCTCCAGCCAGGGTTTCTAAGCTTCGTCCCAGTCACTCACTGGGAAACGAAGAAAGCGATTCCTGCTGGTGCCCAGAGCAGACCTGCTGCACCAGAGGCAGCTCAGCCCCTTCAGTCCCCCCTGCTGGCGGTATGGTCACGGCCTTAGTGGAACATGGGGTCCGGAGGCCAAGGCCCACAGCCAGGGCCAGAAGAGAGGTCTGTGGCTCCAGTAGCTCTGCCCTTTCCGCACCGCCTCGCCCAGGCTGGCTGCAGCCTGCTTCCTCAGTCTCGGCTGAGGGTCAGTAGCAGCAGGTGAGCGGAGCTCTCCCCTCCTGGGGGACGTCCCCTTCCCCTTCCTTGCTGTAGCTCAGCTTGAGGTCCTTGTCCCAGAGGTTCGCGGCATCTACCCTGTACCATTCACCAAGGTCCTGGGCCTCCGCAGCACCCTGCGGTCCTCCACATGCGTCAGTTTCTGATGAGGGTCTCGTCTTGCTCCTTACCTTGCTGCATGGCAGGAAGATGGAAGTTGTGTAGTGGGAACCTCCCCATACTGGTCAGTCATACTGCATTGCAGAAAATAAGGACAAAATGTACTCAGAGCCATAGTCCTACTGTTAGGTAATCGGGCCCCATGAGGTCAAAGGCAACTTTACTCTGGACTCCCATGGGCTTTACTTTGGGCTTGTGCCTCCCATCCCGGGTAGAATGAGAGACTGTGTGCCAGGTCTGGACGGGCAACATACTGTGGTACTGGGGGCTGAACCTAGGGCCTCTGCGCTGAGCTCCATCCTCATCCCACTTTTGAGACAATGCCTCACTAAGGCACGCAGGCCAGGCTCAAACTTGTGGTCCTCATGCCTCAGCCTCCCAGAGGCCTAGGATCAGGAGTTCACCATCTTGAAGCTGTTCTGCCAGCCTGGCTGCGGAACCCACCACCCTGCACGGGGCACAGAGCAAGGGTTTGGCTTTGGCCTTGTTTGCCCACCTCATGCTGTCACTGTCTGCTCCTTGTTAAGAAGCTGAGATGGGAGAAGACAGCGCAGTTCTGACAGTGACAGGCTTCTGGTCTGTGAGTCCAGTGCGTTTTGTTGAGTTTTGGGAGATGGGCCTGTAGGCCCACTGGTCCCTGTCCCCTCCCACCTGCCTCACCTGCTCTGCACGAGGCACTCTGCCCACTCCTGCTGTTCACACTGTGATTATAAAGGTGAAGCCCGGTGGGCCCACACCCAGGCCTCCCAGCATCCTCTGCCTCCAAGCTCCTAGGCCACACCCAGGCAGAGTGTGAGGCCGCCTGGCACCTGGCTGCAGTCCCCCCTTGGTCTCCTTGATGTGGCCAATGGACCAGGTTTGTTGTCCCTGCAGAAACAAAGGTACAGCAAGGTCTACTTTAACATCTTCCTTCATGAGAAATGTGTTCATGATTTTGCCCAAAAGGCAAGGTGAAATAGGGCACATCTCCACATCTATTAATTCTCAAGTTTTAAAATACCTTCAAGATTCACTAGGTTTTCATATATATTTAGGGAAAACATGAACAAAGCAAGGTGCCTGTGCCTTCTTTTTTATGGTGCTGGAGCTTGAACCTAGGAAGTGCTGAGCTATATCCCCAGTCCGTAGATTGTTTGTTGAAGCAGTGCCCTGCTGAGTTACCCAGGTTGGCTTCAAACTTGCAATCTTCCTGCCTCAGCCTTATGAGTAGTAGCTGGGAATTAATAGGCATGTGCCACATTCTTTATAATAATCTTTTACAAAACAAGAATTAATCGGTTATTCATTCAACAGGTATGCAGTGAATGCCTACCATGTTCCAGGCCCTCTACAGACATAAAGGACATAATGACAAGGGCTTCCATTCTAGTGGTGGTGAAGTAGCCAACTCGAAAATGGAAACAAAGCTATGCTTAGGTCTCACCCCAGACAAGTTAATCATATCCTTGAGTATAAACCCTGCTCATTAGTTGTTTGAGTTTTTTCTTTTTGAGCGGGAGGGGAGTGTTTTGTTTTTTGAGACCGTCTTGCCCAGACTGGCTTCTAACTCTCAGTGATCTTTCTGTCTCAGCCTCCAAAGTGCTGGGATTAAAGGTGTGTGCTATGTCCAAAAGAAGAAAACACAACCTAAAATTCTCTGCTCAGCCATACTATTAATGTAAGATAAATATTCCAGACTTACAGGGTTGCATGTATTCATGTACCCTTTCTCAGGAAGCTGTTGATATATGTAGTTAAAACAAAGGAGCTAGGGCTTGGGATTTAGCTCAGCAGCATAAGCACCTGCCTTGCAAGCACAAGGTTATGAGTTTGATCCCTGGCACCAAAAAAGAGTGAGCCAGGTGTGGTAGTACACATCTGTAATCTCAGCACTCAGGAGGCTGAGACAGGAGAGTCACTGAGAGTTCAGGTCCAGCCTACACACTACATAGCTAGACTGTGTAAAAACAAAAACAGGAGTGAAGTGAAGGAGTGAGATACAGGGTCAAACATGAGGAAAAAGAGACCCGCGAGTAGGAAGAGAGTTGGGGAGCAAACCCCAAGATCGTCATCTTTAGGTTCTGCCAGAGACTTGATAATTTAGTACTGGCACATGAAAAACAAAACAAGAAACAGACCAAAACTGCAAAAAATACAGATTACACAATTAAAAAACCTTGGGGGCTGGGGATGTAGTCACACACACACATCCACACAGCAGATCCTGAGCTGCTGTGTGGCCCAGGTTCGAGCAGCCAGCCTAGAGAGCAACTGTGCAAATAGCAAATAACATCAGTGCTGGTGCTGTGCTGCTTGGACAGGAGGCGGCGACTGCCAGGACAGCCAGAACTCTTTGGACTCCGGTGGATTTGTCTGGGTTTTTGTTATTTTTTGATACTAGAAGTACTTGGGTAAAGATAAATTCTATAAATTTGCAGCCACCTAACTACTTCGAATTGGTCAGCCAGTGGCACCAGCCCTTTTATGATAAAGAGCTGAAGGAGGAGAGCAGTCTCGAGCCTGGGGCCTCTGCAGGAGGAAACCAGCGCCCACTCCAATTGAAAGACCCTTGGGCTGCCCCACCTTCTGCAGCCTGAAGCGGGGAGGTATGAGGAGCCATCAGCCAGAAAGAATGAGGGCAGTTAGTGGGAGTTCATGGGGACAGAAACCAGGGCACTGGGAAGAGAGCATCAGGACCTGTTCTTGTTAAGTGTGAGGACTCGGTGCCTGCTGGCAACCAGGTGCTGCCTGAGCAGCTCTGGAGGGGATGGGCTGTGTCATCTGAGCCTTGTAGGCAGCACAGTGTCTGATGAGATGAATTACTAGGCACATCATTCTGCCACGCCAGGCTTTTGGCCTATGGTTGGTATAAAAAACCAAGGTAAAGGCTAGGTGTGCCTTGTAATCCCAGCACTCGGGAGGCTGGGGCAGGAGGAGGGTGTCCCCTTTCACAGCACTGTCCACTGACTTCCTACTAAGTTTAGCCACCTTGCTGCTCCGGCTGTGTGGAAGCTAGGAGATAGTCCTGTAGCTGGTGCGTGGCTGTGCTGAGCAGCAGCTACGATGAGGACAGGATATCACTGACACCAGGCAAGGGTGAAAAAGCTGCAGAGTCACCAGGGGAGCTCAGTCTCTCAGAGCACAGCCTAGAAAGGCAGGCCTGTGGACATTAATTCTGTGTGTGCAGAGCAGGAGGGCCTTTCCCCACAGAGCAGCCCGGCAGAGCTCCCCTTGCTCGCCCTTTTATCTTCTCAGCGGATGAAACCTGGCCAGGTTTTCCTGGCTGACTGAGCAGAAGAGTCAGGGCTTGGGGAAAGACCTCGAGATGTCTGTGGGACTTGAGCTGGGCAAGGATGCGAGTGGGGAGTGACTGGGGGTTCTGCGCCTGACTTGCCTCCATCAGGTGAGTGCCTGGTGGGTGTGGCCAGGGAGGAGCAAGAGGTCCCTGGGGCTGGCTCTGCTCCACCCTGAGGAGGTGGCAGTGCAAGGGTAGGAGGAGTTATGTGGCTTCAACAGTGACTTGTGGGTCCAGCTGAGGCCAGGTCAGGCTGGGGTGATGGGCAAGTAGGGATCCCCTGGAGGCACAAGTGTGTGGGGAGAGGGGATGTTCTCTGGATGTTCTGAGTTGGGGAGCCCCAACCCAGAGGAGAACTTGTTCAAGAGGCTGAAGCTGGCCTGGGTGCACCTGTGATCCAGATGCTTGGGAGGCCGATGCAGGAAGGTAGAGTGTTCAAGACCTCTCTGGACAACTTTGTGAGACCCTGTCTCAAAAGGGCTGAGGACATAGCTCAGAGGTAGAACACCCCTTGTGTCAATCACTGGTACCAAAGAAAAAACCACAGGCCTGCAGAGAGGCTGGTCAGCTGGTGGCCCAGGCTCCCAGAAAGCATGCTGGATAGGCCAAGGGGAGGCAACTGCCACCAGCAGGTCATAGAAGACAGTAGGGAGTAGCCACACGGCCAGTCACTCAGGGAGGAGGGTGAGGAGGAGAGGGAAGCAGTACTGAGGGCAGAGGATGGGAAAGGATGGTCCTGGCCCAGGGGGTAGCAACTGGTGTTGGAGCTCTGCCAGGGGGTTTTGGGGTGAGGATAGGGCAGTCAGCTTGGGGCCTGAGGATCCCCAGGGTGTGTCTCAGGACCACCAATCTCTGGGAAATTCCACGGGGAAGTTGTAAACAGCAACAGCTTACTCAGAGATAACGACCTTGACGCAGACCCACTTCTGGGCCAGGCCGCACTGGGGTGCAAGCCCTGCTCACTCCAGTCCCACTGCCCAGCGCCATGCCTTCCTGGGTTGTCGATCTCAGAGGAAGATTCTGGTAATGTCTCCACTTTGCAAGTGAAGAAACTGAGGCTCCAGGAGGAAAGACATTGCTCAGTGTTAGTCAGGAAGTGGTAAAACTACTTTGAGCCAGGTCTGCTTCTAGCC